TCACCATGACATTCTAATCGGAGTGGCGATCTAAAGAGCTGTTTTTTCTGTTAAGGCAGATAAACAAGGCCAGGTGTGAAAAAATACCTCTCTCTGAAGGAGAGCGAGCAAAAGAGAGAGAGAGCGAAAGAGAGAGAGAGAAGTCATAGCATTCTTTTCTCCTATTACTACAGTCTCTCTAATAGTTCAGAATGCAGCAGCCTGTGATCTTTCCAGGTAAAGAATGTAGATACGCTGGTCTTATTTGGTTAACAGTGGCTTCCTATGAGGTTTCACATTGATTACAAGTCTTGCTTATGACATTTAAAGCAGTACAGCTGCATCATATCTTACTGATCTGGGCCATAAGGCCGTCCAGACCTCCGCACTTAGTTGAGGCAGGTTTGCTAGAAACTCCTAGGATCTCTTACAGCTCAGTTAGTGGAAGATCATTTTCTTACACAGCTCCTAAACTCTGGAAGAGCATTCCTGGGAATATTAGTATTGGAAGTTTGAAAGATTGAAGTATTAAAATATATTAGTTTAAGTCAGCACATGCCTAGAAGTACTGCGGCTCATTTCTCTTGCTTGTAATCATGCTATTACTGTCATTTAGAGCGCAGTGTTTTTTTGTGAAGCACTTTGAGATTATATAAATAAAATGAAAAGTTGTTATTACTGGTTATTGTTCTTTTAAAATAACAAACTTCCTACCTGGAACGGACATAAAAAGCCTGCTCCTCGTCTTTCATGCTCGTATCCATTGAGATGCATAGTAAGAGTCAAATCTATAAACGAAAAGAAAAAGAAACCAAGCAAGGAGAAGGTAACGTCTTTTTTCCAATGAGAGTCTGTATGACAGACTGGAAGCGATGGAGGAAAAGCGTCAGGGAAACATGAGATGAGTGTGAGTGTGTGTGTGTGCGTGTATCAGAGAGGAAAAAAAAAAAACAGATACACACACGAGAGTAGCTACTATTTCACACACTTAAGGAACGAAGCACAGTACTCATTAACCTTTACCTACGTCCAGTTTCATGATCTGTAAGTATCTGCACGCTACTGTGAGCGAACAGCAGGTAAAGGCATGGGAAGTATGAGGAAATCAACTTAATTATCAGCTTTTGAAGCAAAACAAGCATGCAGAGACTGACTCAAGTAGCACTGAATCTTATCTCGGTCACACGTCGGCCAACAATGACGGCCAACAATGAGTTTTTTCCACAATACAAATAGGTTTCGGTGGCAGCAACGTTTTCAATTTGTATATTGCATGTGCTGAAAACAAGACCACAGGATCTAACAAAGCTATTAAAATGTGAAATCTAAATGATGAGTTGATCATTTACATGAAGATAATGCATATTAAGGTGTCCTACTGGCAAAGAGGAACGCTCAAGGTGTTCTAGGCCAATAAGTCCAATGTCTTTAAACTCAACCTATAGTACTACAGCATTGCTCTTATTTCTCTGTTAAGATTTGGTTGGAAACAACAGGATTAAAATCTTGAACTGCTCAACAGAAAACTGTCCAATCAGGATTTTTTCTCTGGGGTATCTAGGTACATACAGCCAATCGAGCTGTCCCATTGGTTAGGACTCATCACCACTAACACATCATTAAACAATGACAAAATCAGGAACTGACAGCGGAATCAACTAATCATGTTTGGATTTCTAATACATGGGACCAATTTTGTGAGAAAGAAGTTACTCTAGGCCTTCTGGAAGTCCTAAATACGTCCCCCAGCTGTACACACGTGCCGTAACCCCACCAGGTTTTGGTTAGTTTTTGGACTTTTTACCAAAAGTCAGTGCAAAACTGCAACATGCAAGGTAAAACCTTCAAATAAAAGTGTCAAAAGCCTTTGTTTAATCAAAAACAGTCAAAAAATGTTCATGTGAATTGCCATGAGCTTAGGGCTAACATACAACTAGAAACCCATAGGGGAGCTAACCAAAATTAGCATTACTATAGAGGTATTTTTTTTCTAATTTTTGTCATGCTTTAACATTTATGGCCCAAACTGAAGGCCCAGCTCTAATAATCATGGTTTGCTACTGCCTACTTGTCTCTCTTGCCGTGTGAAAGAGCTTTTTGATGCCTGATGACCACAAACTTTTTGAGACCTTTTAAATAGCTTTCTTATTTTCTTCTACACTAAAATACTGACCAGATCTGCATGGTTTATTACCGTTTAGAGAAATCTTTTTCTATTGCTCAGTTGATCTGATTAGTCAATCAATCATCACAATACCCAGCAGATTACTTGATCAAAAATATAACTGTAGCTGCAGTCCTACTTTAGCGATTAACAAAAATCACACTAATCTCATTTTCAGCACGGACACTCTATCAATAAACACTCTATTCAAGCATTATGAAAAGCTGAAGAAAGAATGCTGAACCATAATGTCTCAATTTCTAAGCCTGTAATCTGTAATCTCCACCACCGCTGAAAGTGCAGGTTTACAGTGCCTGTGCAACAGCAAAGTCTTTATGAATTGGTCTGGTTTAATCTGCTGCCAGTGCAGCCCTTCATGAGCAAATCTAGATGGGCCTTATGAGATCTATACACTGTGTTTCAGTGACTGACTTTTTCCCAGAAGCCTAGCCGCTCTCTCAAGCCATTAGCAGCACAGAGGCTGCTCTGTCCACTTTCTCCACCAGATCCTCACCAGGTAGGTACTTTCCATGAAGTAGGCCAATGTACTCCTGTTCCTGGACTTCCCCTGCACAGTTTAGTACTTTCCTCACTTAAGGCACCTCATGAAGGTCTTAACACATAGACAAAATCAGTAAACTTTGCAGGATTGGGAATCACTCCAGTGGACTAATTTACCAGATACCCCATTTTGCACATATTACAACTGCATGCAGCAACATCCATTAATCTCATCCTTAATTATATCCTTTTGCACCATTTGCACCTGTTACTGTCTCATTCCACCGAATCTATATTGCAGCAAATGCCCTGTACATTTAATTTATATACTGGATATATAAATATATATCCATATATAAATATATAATATATATATATATATATATATATATATATATATATATGTGTGTGTGTCATGATACCTCAGGATGCACAATGATTCAGGAATCATACAGTCTTAGGCAAAAGTTCAGGCACCCAGTCAAATTACATGCTTTGTTGATTTTCTATGTGAAAATAAATGAACACATCCTTTACAGAGAACACACTACTGCACATTTTATTACACAGTTACTGTTTATTTGCTTGATGGAACATATTGAGGGGAAAAACAAGATGAAACTATGGCACATTTAATATTTTATATAAATATTTTACATAAATTGTGCACTGAAATATTTAACTGTATTCTTCTGCAGAGGATGTGTTAACTTATTATGACTTAGAAAATCAACAAGACATATAATCTGACCAGAAGTGTTCAAACTTTTGTACTGTCAACAGTTTCTTAGCAGAATGCTTAGGTGACACTGGGCTACTGCACCAAAATGTCTGTTAATTTTACTGCATGCGTAACCCTACAGAAATAAATGTCACATTTATAAATGTGTATATACAGACAGCATCAACAGGTGTGTGAAAAACATCAGTCATCGGCCCAGAATTCTCATAGCAGTGCCTCCTTTGTGACAGCTTTGTTGGCTGTGTATGGGATGTATTTGTTTTCTATTTGTGGTCTGTATCGTCCATTTAGGTCCAAGTACCAATTTCACCAAGACAAATATCATGTACCCTGTATTTGGCGGATAAAGTGATTCTGATGAAGCTTAAGGCAGAGTTCAGCTGAGATGTAGTGCTGGCTGATCTATCATCTACACTGTGATTTATATACACAGTGATACTGTGTTCAGTTTCAGTAATAAGTGATATTTGATATGTTTTTAACCATTTCAGGCAGAGAAAAGAGGCCAAACTGAAGTAAGGTATCTACACAGCCAAGTTGCTTACATTAGCTCGTCATCCTCATCTGAGGAGTCATATGTAGTATGCTCTCTCCTTTGTAATGGTGATTTGAATACAGTTTCTACAGTTAAACAGCTGCCAAGGAACAGCTTCCTAGCAGTAATGTTAACAACTGGCCTTCGTTCTGCACTCGTTAACAAAAACAATCCTAAACATCCCTAAAAATCCATTCCAAAATAGTTGTAGTTTTTCGTAAGTTCCTCCCACCTTCAAGATACGTCATCAGAAGGGGATTTCTTAGTCTTTAAATGTGAAAATCTGACTTTAGCGACTGCTGTAAGATGCTTAAATGTTTAAACATGTAGGCATGTTTTACAATGGTTAAAACCTTCATCTTAGCCTGAATGTCCCTTTAATGCAAACTTAGTTTAACATGATTAATACTAACTTAAATATAATCTTAAACTGGGATATATTTGTAAGATAACTCTTGACTGAGCAGAAGAATTAGTTTCAGGCCTACACAATAAAAGCTTCTGAGTCATAAGAATGAACTCCCTGCCTCAAAACACCTGGTTCAGCTCCTGTATGGCCTACTGAGGAGCTGAACCAGGTGTGCTGGGGCAGGAACAGTAACGTTCCAGAACTAAAACTCCTAGTACTCCTAGGTTAACATGCAATATAAAGCAGGGAAATGTTCCTTCATGTTCACAAACGTTAGGGAAGTTAGGCTACTGGAGCATCTGACTGAGGTCCAGGTTGGATTCCTCGGTTAGGCTGGGTCTTTACACTGATTCGCTGATTCATGACAGCTTCAACAACTCGACAACTCAATAAACCAAACAAAAACCAGAACAAATGTGGACTATGTGATGTGAACTGGGAGCTGTTTGCACGAAGCTGGAGTTTGCTTCTTATTCGAATTTTTCCGTTCCACCTTAAATGCTGCGGCAGTTACATTCTGGCGCCTCACAGGCGCCACAATGTAACTGCCGCAGCATTTAAGGTGGAACGGAAAAAATTCGAATAAGAAACGCCTTTGAACTTTGCGTGCCAGCGGCGGGCACTGGATCCATGCAGGCTGCCGTATATAAACCAGAAAAGGGCCTTTTACCTTTAAAATATCTCAGCGAAGAGTCTTCGGGTGTACAACATATCCGGAGGCTGAGAAGTCCTGCGACTCTTGGAGGTCTTGAGGTAAAGTCGCTTAAAACCCAATCACACAGACGCTCCGCTCTCCGCCATGTTTTCTCAAGTTTTCCTCACTTCTTCAGTCTTTGGGAGGAAAAAAAGTGGTCGATACTGGAGGAGGCTGGTGCACCGCCCCTCAAGACAGCTCAGGAGTGAAACCTTACACTCAACTCACTACACGGCTCGAATTAGTTCAGAGACCTACAACTCGAACTAGATTCATTCACAACCTGTCTGAATGAATAAATTCAACTTTATAAAGCTGTAAATTAGCATAGGCTTCACCACAGACTCAACAAACACACTCAGACAGTTCATATCAACCAAAGCCATTGTTTCCACACACATCAGTTTTTTCATAATATGCAGACTTAATATGATAATTTTAATAACACGTTTATTTTAAACTGTTACTTTATCTTCATACTGTGTGTGTGTGTGTGTGTGTGTGTCATGTTTAGCTGCCACTAGAGGGCAGTGCGTGATTGACGGTTAGTCTTTACGTTGATTTTTAACCACAGATTTTTCCAAACTTCTTCGCAGCTCAGTTGTTGAGATGTAGAGCAACTTTCTCAGATTGGTTTGGTGTGAAATTGTGTATTGTAGAGAAATGTACTGACTGATTTCTTTACAGTGGTGGTGAAAGGAACCAGGGGTTGCAATGGTTCCATTAACCCCTGCAAACAAGTCCATGTGGTATCAGTGTGGAGCGACTGTTGGCTATACATTGGGCTCCAGTCAGTTGTGAAACCGATGTTAGCATTCTGCCAGCATGGGACGTTAAGGGGGCCCACTATTTTGTGGAACCAGGGGCATGTGTGGGGCCCCTTAACACCCCACTATGGGCAGCCCACTTTAAGCCTTCATATGACAGCTTAGTGTGGCCCACCAACAGTTTCACAACTGATTCGGGCCCCACTGTGAACAGTTCTGATGAAGTAAGTTTCTCTAGAAGCATTTCACATTCAATTTTGAAAAATCTTTGGAAATTCCCCTCCAAAAAGCAAGTGTTCTGCACTGGCCAGAACCAACATTCGTAGCTGCTTACTCTTGTGGCTAAATGCATTCAAATCCTCACAGCAGTGTTTCAACATCTAATGTAAAGCCTTCTCTGTAAAGTAGAGGCTGTTACTGCAGCAAAGGGGGTTAATCTTTCTATTAATACCCTTGATTTCAGAAGAAATGTTTGATAAAAGGCAACTGTATTCTAAATACTGTTTTTAAAATCCAAATTCCCAAATCTTAAACAGTGCAGTTGTAGTTCATTCTGTTCCTCGCTGTTACTGGTTGGCATTGTTTTTCATGTCTTCTGCTAATATATTTCATGAAACATTCACATCATTTGAATGAAGTTTTGAAATTCTCAACATCAGTTGTTTGTTTTGGGGAGATGAAGTTCAATAATCCCTCAAAAGAGCTCAGAAATGCTGAAATAAATAACTGGGTCATGACATTGACTTATCAGTCAACACAGGCTTTAGCAGAGCTCAACAATACTGAGATTAATAACTGATCACATTGATTTATGTTTTTGTTTACAAAAAAACAGTTTGTCCAGCTCCTCTGTAATAAACAAGCATTGATGATTAATTTAATATCGAAAGTTCTTGTTTTTTTAATTTAGTGTGTAAAAGTATTCCTCTAAAATGTAAAAAGAAAATGTTTTCTGAATACTGTTTTTTTTATTTAACTGTACTTTGAATATGTATTCTGAGTACTTGTATTCAGTGACATCTCAATCCTTTGCAAAACATATGGAAAATAATAACAGTATTGTTAATGGAGTATGCCTATATCAATTAAAGAGAAAAAAAAACAACTTAATTCCATTTTTACAAAGTTTTATGTAAGGCATTGGTTCATCATATTGAAATACAATTTTCTCTCTCTCTCACATACACCCAGAACGACATGATCAATACATTCAGAAAAGTCGCATGAAAGGCAAAGTATTTACAAAGCTAAAGTGATCACAAAAAGCTCTTCACATTCATTTCTTTGTAAATTGCCCTTGTATATTCTTTGATCAGATTCAACAAGCTACCCAGAAAACATCAACAGATGAAAAAACGGGGTGAACGTAAGTTTATACCCGTAAACACAGTAAAAAAAAAGCAAAGGCAGTATATCCAGACAGTAAGGGTAGGACAAATGTCCGTATGCAAATCCATTGCTTGCTCACGTAATGAGAGTGCGTATGAATGTTGGTAAGGGAATGAGGAAGAGGAATAAGGGAGCGAGGGCAACATCACATGTTCAGCACAGGGTGAGACAACAGCAGATTCATCACCACCACACCCCCTTCCCAATCCTGCAGCGTTCAGTCTCGGTGCAATAACAGCGTTCCCTAAAGCCTGCAGCAATCTCCCTCAAAGTAATAACGCTGCTCCCTAAAGGATGCTGCATCCTATAAGGCAGAGTTGACACCGACTCCTATTGTGTGCCACTTTCTGTGTGTAACACTAAAGCGTTCCACTTTCTGCCTCATATCACTATCAGCACTGATTTCTAAAGCCTGTTCCATTATGGCATTCTTTTTACATTCAAAACAGTTCAAGCAAAACCTGTAAAATCTCCCTTTTATATCTCAGAGTAGGGGTCTGCCATTTGACCCAACCCAGAATATCAGACTTCAGGCTGGTGTAACGAAAATAGCTGATGCTGTCAAAAGCTGACACAAGAGTCAACCTCTCACATGTAAAACAGTAAATATTAAAAGCTGATGCTGAAAAAAAGTTGACACTGTACAAATTTTTGATTAGTAGTACTGTAGTTATGCCTCAGCATGTAGTCTAACAGCCCAGTATTTAAGTCAGCATTTAGTAGGTGTGTTTACTAGCTCCAATGTCTAATGAGAAGTCTGCATATTATTTTACTCACCTAATGTTACAATGAACATGACTGAGAAGTGTAAATGGCTATTTTAAGTTTGAAAAAATATCCTTCTGTCCTCAATATAACATCGACAAGCCAAAATCATCCACTGAGCAGAAAATAATTTACCTTGTGTAGAAGACGACAACCACCCCTCAATGAACAGACTGAATTGTGATTTAACTCACAGTGGCTAAAAAAATTCCATTCGAGGCAGTTTGCATAATATAAGAAAATCATACAATCATGTATTTATTTATTTATATAATATTATATATAAATGTAGTCCTCTGTCTGCTTTCTTTCTGCTACTGACTTTGTTGTGCAGCCCTGTTGTACAGATGACTGACAAAGTAATTTTACAGCAATTTTGAGACTAAAATAATTCTCAACAGCCACCATTCAGAAAGTACACAGTGCTTAGAAGAGTTAATCAAGTGGTTCTCTTTTAGTTCCATGTCAGCCAGCTGAATTCTTTCAACAGAATAACATCTTTCTCTTCAGCCCAAACATAGCATGTTTAGCCGCACTGCTATACAGACTTGAAGCTTAACGCATCAACTTTGACAGCCTCAACTATTTTCAATACACCAGAGTGATTTTTTATGTCGTGTATTTCTTGCACACACACATTTTCTCTCTCTCCATTATAATGGTCACTGTGTTTGGAATAGCTCTGGAGTTGGGTGAATGTGACCCTGAATGACAGTGGGGGACCCTCAGAGCCCTCTAGGCCTTCAGAAAAGGCCCATTAATTTCTGTGAAAAAAATGCATGTCTAACTTTTTGTTCAGTTTTTTTTTAAAGAATCATCATGCTTGTATTTGAACTCTATTTATAAGTTTTGGTTGGAAACAAAAGGGTTAAATTCACAGCCAGTGGAAAATGATCCAATCAGAATATAAGCGAGCTCTCCAGATTAACCACCAACATAGATATGAATTGACAATGGAATCAGCTGATCGCTTTTTGATTTACAACTTGTGTGACCAATTTGTGTGAAAAACTCTTGACCTACTAGAAGTCCTAGACACGTCCCTGACTGTGAATGCGAGCCGTAGTCTGGTCAGTGTGTTTCAGTCAGATAGAAATGGAAGCGTCTCTATGCCAGGGCTCTGTAAAAGTGCAACATACAAGGTAAAACGTATGTTAATGTTTGCTACAAGCTCCATGAAAAAAATCTGCAGTGTCTTTTACAAGCTTCACATGTCCATGTTTAATCTAGAATTGCCAAAAAATGGTCATCGTTGATAGCTTAGCGTTGACACTGCAGAGGTGTCTTTGACTGAATTTTGACATTTATGGCCAAAACTGAAGCACCTAGCACTAATAGTCACGGTTCGCCACTACTGAATGAAACCACGGATGATGAGGAGGATGTGTTGGGTTGGTGAAAGGTAAAAGCATATCTTTCCACTTGCTTGTTAAGTCTACCTGAAGTGTGTTAAAAATTTCTGCAACTAGCAGCAGTAGAGAGAGGAGCTTTAGCACAGCAGGGCTAACAGTTGAGGAGGATGGATGCTACAAAAATATACTGATGATAAATTCTGTTAGTGTGTAACAGATGTGTAAAATACCAGTTTATCCCAGCATGACATTTTCTGTTGAACAACTCAAGTGGTTGAAGAACCAAAATGATCTGAGTATTCATTTACTTAATTGGGTATTCAAATAAAGCATCTGTTTTAAATACGTTTTAGAACATGTGGTGTAGAAACATGTTAACACAAGCAGCTGATAATGTGTCTCTAAGCAAAATGGTGCCATTTAAGCAGAGCTACAAATGGAAATATTTACAAGGAGTCGTTGCAACTGTTTATGGTTCGTAGTCAACGGTGTTAAATCACATTCGCCTAAACACAAAAATAAATCAACTTAATGATCAGGTTCAAAATTTCCTGTTTCATAATCTTAAAATTAAATGCTATTTGTTAAAAAATGCAGATATTTAAGAAGATAATTAACTGATATTCCTATTCCTGCTGTTAACTCATACAGATAATGAAGCGGTCAGCACTGTCTCCTAAAATGGACCACCTGACTCAAAACAGCTTACATTTTAAAGGCTGTGTTTGAAATGTCCAGATGAAGAACTGAAAAGTGAGGGGAACATTCTAGAAACAGAGCCAACAATTACAGACTTGTAGCTTTACTGGAAAGCACATAAAGTTTGTTGGATGTGGTTCAGGTAGAAAACTGCTGACTGTACAGCAGAATCAATGGTGTTTGGAGCTTAGAGTCTGAACTTGTGGACGTGAAGGGGTTAGAACGGTGTGTCCATTTGACTGCCTTTGGCTCCAGCTGGAACCACTCCATAACTGCCCTCCTGCCAGCGCATCCACCTCATCTGCACCTCATTCTGGACCTGAAACACACACACACACACACAAGACCACCAGGTGACTGGACAGTATGTCAATTTTATAGCATGGCATTAGTCGCCACAAGTCATTGTTTAATATTACTGTGGTATTAAAATATACTGTACTAAAATATTTAAATGGACATTCCAGCCTAAAACTAGATTTTAATGTTGTCTGTCAAGTTATGTAATATTTTATATATATATATATATATATATATATATATATATATATATATATATATTCTGTAATATCTTCTTTAGCTCAGAATTTTTATCCCTCAGCCTCAGAATTCACAACATCATATCATTTTCATGTTCTTATGTTCATGTTCTCTCACTATACTACACAGCATGCATTATGCAAAAATTTGATGCAATCATTGTGAATTCCTGTGGTGTCAACCAATTCTGATAGCTAGCCTAGCCACTGAGCTACAGGCAAATAAATAAAAACAGCCAACATTAGTTAGTTTGGTCATCAAACAAAATTGTTAAAAAAACAAACTAGTAATTCTACTTTTATTCAGCACAATTTTTTACCCTTTCAGCTGGAGAAAAGAAGCCAAACTGAGGTATCTCAATAGCCAAGCTACCTTGCTAACTTTAGCTCTTAGTTTGTTGTCCTCCTCATCTGATCAGTCATTTCTGTTGTTTCTAATCAGTTCTCTCCTTTGTAAGGATGATTTGAAGACAGTTACATGGCTGCATTAAGATATTCAACTTCCTGGCAGTATTGTTAACTTTCTGCCTTCCTTCTACATTCAGCAGCTTAAAAAAACACTTTAAAGAGCCTGTCCCAAAAATCCACCCTAAAACAGTTTCATTTTGGCCAATTTTGGAGTTTCCCTTTAAAAAGTGGTAATACACATGAGAGAAATTTCACCACAGGTATCATATATCACATTTCTTTCTGCAATTTAAATAAAAATGATCACCAGTACTGTTTACTGTTATAGGTAAACAAGTTGTCCTGTGGTTTGCAGGGAGACTGTAGCAGTGAGCTTCTACTATGACGAGACAATAATTGTGCATGGTTATATTGGAATTATAAAAATTTCAAACAATGTGATTATCCTTGTGTTTTCTACCACAGTATATGATATATAAAAGTGTCCCATCCCTAAACACCACCATCAAAATCATCAACATAGCATTACTCCCAAATAGGAGGCAGCTCCAGGCCTGACTGAGGAACATGTTAACACTCAAGTATGAGTCATTCATAGTTTGTTACTGCGCTGTTCCCTTGTGTAATGTCTCTATAACCATGTGTTTTTAAGCCAGGTTGTTATTACAGAAAAATACTCATGTAGTGCTATCATTCATTAATTGGTACAAGAGTTCTCAAAGGCTGTTCTTTAAACCTTTGGGGTTGTAATATGAAGCACTTGATTTAATTCAGTCATCAAACAGAGGCCTGGTTTCATTAGGGAAAACTAATTTAAAATAAATTTAAATAATCTGCCAATGCAGTACCCTGCCTGCCCCAGGAGTAACTGTGAATTTACTTAGGAAGAACGTAGTAAGCATATATATTTTGTTACTGCAATAGTCTTGTATAGCTTTGTTCAATGTATGTGTTGTTCACAGAGACAGCATGGGTTGAGGTAAAGCAACATTTTTCACAACTGGTATACTGTATATAGGTATAATTAATATATCAGTACTGTAGTTCACTTATGTAATGTGGTTTAAATATTTTACAGGACAAATATTAGAGGCCAAACCTCATTCCATTCTAAGAAAAACTTTTTTTGCCATGTTGTCAGAATCACTACTCACCTCCTGGTTAAGGAAACAGTAGAGAATCGCCACAATAAGCCCCTAAAATAAAGTGACACAGAAATCTCAGTGTGAGTAACAACAATTTGAAATTAGGCAGTGAATGTTGTATTACACAGATTGGGTATGAAGTGCATTGACCATTCACATACAAATGTACTTTCCCCTTTAAGCTGATCTTCCTCATAGCTTGGAATTCAAAAGCAGTGAGATAATGTTCTACTGCAGGGGTCTCAAATTGCAGGTCTACGGGCTGCAACTTCTCCTTAAATCCGGCCCGTAATTTGCTTTACCCACCAGACACTCTGGCTGGTTACCCAACACATGCTATTTAAAATCAGGGCAGTTATTTCCAGCCATACAAGACCAGACTATAAACCCCACACTAAGCCTCATTTCAAAAACTTATTTGAAAATACTGGTAATGCTAAAATTAACAGCATAATTAGTTTGTATCATTTGCAAATAACACACCTGCTTGTGGCTTAACCAATAATTCAACTGGCTCATTTTATTGAAGAGCGGGACTTTTCCTGTGAACAGACACCATGTTGAGCATTCCAAGCTTTCCCATTTATTTTCCTACCACTGGTCTCATCCTTTATAATGCAAGTTTGCCTGATTTAACTGAACACTAATTTAAATACTGATAATAATCTGTTACTACTATTATTAGCAGGAGCAGTGGTAGAAGTTGTGGCTGGTGGTGACAGAAGAATTTCTAAGCCCCTTTGAGATAGGATTAGTTTTACATTGGAAGGTGGGATAATGTACTTTTTACTGCTGTTTCTCAGTGATTTTAGTCCCCGCCGAATCCTCCATATCATTTGTATGGACTACATGCTCCCACGTCAGTGAAGATTCCGGCACCTTTTACATTCTATAAAACAAGCAGTAGAAATAACCCCAGGTCACAGTAATCCTGTGTGAATCGACAGGTAATAAATCATATCCGGTGGAAAAGGAGTTTCTTCTCGAAGAAGCATTTACTTGGGTTTTCTGTGGCTAAAATAAATCAGATATGTAACATTACTGTCCTGCCTCAAGTGTGCAACACTGAAATGTAAAAATCACAGAAGGAAAGTTTAATTGTATGCCGTGTCAATACCCAAGGTAATGATAAAGATAATAACACAGTGTGGTCACTTAGGCGAGCAAGATAGATGGTTTGGGTAAAAAGAATAATTAAATGTTTTCTACTCTTTTCTAGAGTGAAGGCAGTGCATACACTGAGTAGCCACTTCCATTTCTGTCATTTAGATTCCTTATTTCATGCAAGCTGGTCATGAACATTACTGACACCCTGTGGTAATAAAAATTATGGTACATTTTTCTGTGCATTTTTCAACTGGCCTCCATTAGAGAAGACCACTTGGCTAGTGGCCCCCAGGGATTTTGCGTTCGAGACCCCTGTTCTAATGTCTTCTAACCCTAAATGAGAATCTAAAGCACAGATTTGCCTTATAAAAAACAACTTAACATAGGAAGTTGTACTTTTAGATTTTCTATCACAGCAAGAACACATTTTCTCTGATATTTGGCATAAATATATGATAGAAAAGCTATTAAGCCTTTGAAATATGGAGAATAATCCATAATAATTGAAAGAGGTGACTTTCTTCCAGTATATGAACAAGTAGCCAGTTGAACAGTGAAATCATTTCACTTGTCAAACAGAGTGGCCTACAGCTAAGCTCAGATAGCTGGTCTAAAGCTTGCTCTGTCTCTGTTCATCTCTTTACTTAGCTGGATCTGCACACCCCTACCACAGAATGAGAATCCTCTGTTGGTTAATGTATGCACACTCATGTGGGTATCTGTGCGTTCCAGGCTTTCTTAGGCAGCACTAATCTTCCCAGAGCTCTGCTTGCCCAACTAGAATCTAAGATTGAAAGAATTCAAGAGGTCATCTCCGCAAGCATGAGAGTGCGTGCGTATGGCAGAAACTCCAAACACAAGTGGTAATCCAGCAGTTGACCGTGCTTGCATGGGGCAGGTGTGACTCTGAATGAGCGACCTGTTGATTTTGGATCAGTAAGACGGCTGGCTTTTGGCAAAGGGTGCTGCGAAATTTGCAATGAGGGTTCACTGAAGATGCACCTCAATGAATATATGATTAGGCACCCACATGGCTAATTCCACAAGAGACACAAACTTATGTCAATTCCAACTTTGAGAGTGCAGAAACGTAGTAGAAACTCACTGACATGATCTCAGCAGATACTTATACCAGGATGCCTGGCAAACTGACCACCAAAGGAGTGAAAACTGCTGTGCTTTTATGTTTCCCACAAACTTGTCAAACAGAATTAAGAATCAAGCTTAAAATTCATCTTCCATAATGTGAACATTGCATACTACCCTGCAGGTTTTAGTGACTCAGTACTAGTGAACTGAACCCAAATCTGATGTTGTAAGTAGAAACTGGATCCCAGCTGGTCTGTTATATAGAGAGTGTAGAGATTTTTTTGTGATTTTTTTTGGGATGGATTCAAATCACAGCAAATCACTATAATTGTCCAATTTTAGTTGTTATCTGTCCTCTTCACCTTTCAACTGCTCAGAAAAGGAACAGATTTATAGGCTGGGTTATTACTATGCTTAGGGAGAAAATGATGGCAGTGGAATTCATAGCAACACTTTATTTTATCCGGGTTTTGGTTCAGTCTAGATACAATATATGCACCTGATTATATGCCTGCACAATCTATTTATTCAGAGAAAGTGTCAACAAGCTGAACGCATCAGACACACTCAAACCCAGGCCTTAATAATTATGTGGTGAACTGTAGGTCTCCGATCACTGAGCTAATTAAAAAAGCACTTCTACAAACACTGAGGAGTACACGCTTTAGATCAGCATGTGTTGCATTGTGTGAGTATGTATATGACCATTCTGTTTACTAATAGATGGATGCAATAGCAGAGATGAACCACTGGAGGTCAAAAACTGGCCATTATAATTGGAAAAGCTCTGTTGTGTGTACAGTCTTGTTTTGGGGGAAAAAAACATCCATGTTTGCCTTTTTTGACTCTGACACACAATCAACACACTGTGTTAAGAGTCTTACCAAGAGCCTTAATACCAGAACAGTGGCATTCCAGACTGGAAGTCTGAGTGTTGTTTGAAACGTGAAGCAGTGGTGGCTACTGTCACAACAAACCTGCATCACCATAAGCAACTTTTAAACATGGATTATTTATATAAATATCATTATTTTTATTTTTTATTATTGTTTTTGTAGGCATATAAAGAAAAAGCTGTTCATGTGATGCTATTTGCTTTTCTAACAGCCTTAAATACACAAAAATAATGTAGAGCAAATCTACAGTAATAACTTTAGACTTTAAGGTTTAAGGGGAAAAGAATAGTGTGCATGTGCACATATGTGAGTGTTGGTATGGTTGATGAATAAAAGGAAGGGTGGACTGAGGTTAAAGTGACAGACAGCAGAGAAACACACACAGCTCATAATGAGCTGCAGACTGAGCTACCAGACTGAAAGACATTTCATTCAAATCCAGCAGCATTCCAGGGTCGATAGCTGATACTGAAATTTCTCACCAGGGAGCACAGACCTCATAATGAGCTGCCTGTATATATAATTAGTTATGGAATTGCCCAATTACATGCAAATAATTATGTCATGTACATTAAAGCACAGCAAAACAACAACAATAATTCTACACTTCTTAAGGTTAGGTCTGTGCCCAGGACAGTGTCCCCATCTGTCCAGTGTGTTGTCCCTAAGGGCCAATACAAAGGAAGGGGCTAGATTTACCTGGAAAGAGCCGAGACAGAGCTCTATGCAGAGACGCAGGCTCAGGTTGGAGTAATCCGGCAGGAAGTTAAACACCACGTAATGGGTCCCGAACAGGGGGATGAGGAGAAGAGTGGACTTGGTCAGGCGTCTGAGAAGAGGGCATAATGAAGTGAATGAATAATGGAGAGAAATAGGATCCCACCATCGCTAATTCGCAGATATCCGAAAAATACAAACGCTTCAGCTTCATAATATGGGTGTGTTTAGAAGCTCTTCTTATAACATTTATGTAAAATCAGTGAAATTGCCCTTGAGCTCGAAGGACAGCAAAGCAGATTAGTGCCAGGTGCTTTTGTAACGCGTGGGTACAATTTGAAAGGGCAGCTTTTCAAAATGAAAATCTCTTGTCGTGTGACATTTATTGGGGGTGTGTTGGTGTTGGTTTGTCACACCATTTGCTAGCTGGATTTTCAGGGAAGCTACTGTTTGTGCTTTTGTTAGGCAAAGTCAAGCTGAGTCTGTGTTCCTAAAACAGTGATCTGCAATTATGTGTACAAGGGCATTTTGGCGACAGTGGCAAATTAACCAGGTCCATTTTTGTTGGGTTTTCACATTTTTTCCCAATAATTTTATGAACACCAGCTGCATTTGACCTTGTGTGAACGTTCGATGATGAATGGATCTGTAGAAATGGTCACAAAGAAATAACTGGAATATATATGTTGTTCCAATAATATACATTAAATGCTATTCATGTTTCTTTATCTTGAAAAGTCACCATTTTGGAGATTTGAGGTTTTGTTCAAATGGCAACGAAATTATGTCCTTTTAGCATAATAAGTGCAACTTAGCATTAGTTATAGTGATAGTGCTAAATAAAAGAAACCATAAGGTCAGCTAGTATGTAGAAGTTTTATTTTTCACCTTAACACAGACCTGGAGTCATTTAATGGGGCAATGCCCCACCAACCAATCATCGAAGTGAAACTAAACTTTGTGTGTGCTGCTGCAGTGTTTGCTGTGTGTGCCTCGTGCAAAAAGCTACACTTATTAACACAAAAGGTTTTGCATGCATCACTTTGTACAGCATGTACTGTGTGTTGTGGGGAGATAAATTAGCAGACAGATTTCTCCTGTTGATTCACTCCTGAATGTGTGGCTCCTCAGAACATATCTACCGTACATTTCTCATGCCATATTTTCCTTAGCTGCTTTTTTGTGTGACCATATGTAAGCAAACCTCATGGATGTTTCTCGCTGCCCTGATTTCCAGCTGCCCTTTACACAGCCTGCATCTAATCAGCATATGTATGAACATGATTAGGGCAGGGCCTTCCTTTTTGAGCTCTTCTAATAATAACACCATCAAACAAAAAGAGCGGTACATATATGCATTCACACTACACACACATACACGAAATATCCAGGCAACACAAAAATTCTTGTTTTCCTCTCAGTGTGGGCACATTCAGTCCCTACAAAGAAATAAAATTAAATACACAGATCTCCTCAAATTCAGGACCAGAACTCCATTTGCTCCATAGGCACATATCAAACCGCTTTCTGTGCATCTACTATCTGACAAACCGTAAAATCCCACGTTTTTGAAAACAATCTTCACTGATTCATGCCATTGACATTTTGACTCAATTTGTCTCACTGATATTGTCTACTAGAACAGAACGAAGCAACAGGTGTCTGGTGCTCAAAGAACCCACTCCAACCCAAGCCCTTCATCACTATATGAGTCACAGCGGTTCCTCCAGATTCAGAGATAGAACAGAGGATGTCGACAGACGCACACAGCAAGATGAAGTAGCACTTTAATAAAGCAGCACAGCTGGTATATGCAGCACTGACCGAGCTATACATAGAGAAGCATTTCAGTGATGTCACGACATTAAAAACCATATCCAGCAGGCTAAAGTGATAGTACCTGCTACGGGTTGCTCCCTTTAGAAAACAGCAATTTCTTTTTTGATGTTTATTTATTTATTTATTTACTTCATGGCTGCTGGAATAACCAGGGCAAGCTGGCATTTGGTCCACCGCTTTATGAGTTCAGGTTGGTTTTCTTTGAATAAAACCTTCCAATTTTTCTAACTGCTTGTGACCTTTAGACACAAACAATATTTGCTGAATTTGATTAAAGTGTTAAAAAAGGAAAACAAATCTGAACAACTGACACTTTCATAAAAACTACACATATCTGTGGGGAAACAAAGTTTTGTTTAGTGACCAATAGCAAGTCATGCTACATTAACTGTGTAGCATTTCACTTAAGTTTTAAGCAAGAACACATACATAAAAAGCAAAATAACTAATAAATACAAAGCAAAATAAATACAAAAATTATGCAACAGTCAAAGGTTAATTAACATTAATAATAGTAATAAGTTATAATATTTGTGATAATAAATAAAAATACTTTTTTTATTTAGTCAATAAAGTGAAACATACTGAGCTTTTTTATTCTTGCATTCAATTATATTAGCTTTTGTAAATCTTATATTCTTTTGTTATACTTATATTTAAGATGCAATTCAATAGAATATTTGAAAACAAAACTGTTGCAGCACTAATACATTTCCTAAAATGTAAAACCTGCTTGATTTCATGTTTAGTGAGAAGACTGTAAAAGCAATAAATTATACTCCACGCTTTTGGCAGTGCAGTGCCATCCTTGATTTATTTATATAAAGTTGCATTTGCACTGACAAGTCTTCCAAAGCAAATTTTCAGAAGTATAAAATCAGGATTATTCAAGCAGTTTAGTGTTTGACATGCAGCTTTCAAATTATTTAATAATAATAAGCTGGTTTCAAACAGCAATCAATCATAATGATCTTTTCTCATATACTGTGCACTGCCAGACATACTTTGTACAGAAGTCCAAAGAGGAATTTCATATTCTAGAGTGTATTCAGGGTCTATGGGTAAAAATGAGGCTGAGAGAAAGGGAAAGAGCACTTAGTCATGACGCTAGAGTTTATTTTTTCAACAGTTATCAGATTGTGGCTTCTGCTTCTGTGGCTACATCCTTGAAATGGAGAAAGAAAGCCAGATGTAATCTGGCCCTGATGGATTTGTCTGATATCTCAGGGGATATCTCAGGGGATTTGTTTAGTTCATAGAATGAGTGGAAATATATGCAAATAGCAGCCAGCCCCTGCACAGATTTGAATCATCACAGTTATCATTTTAGTGAGCTGAATGTGTGGAAGCTCAATACCTGTACTGTGCGGAGTTGTTGAACTGGATGAGCCGCGGGTTCAGCTTCTGGACCAGAATCCTTATGATGTTTATGAACAGCAGGAAGTTGATCTGTTCAAACAGGAAATAGCACAAAACCAGTATAATAAAGCTGTGTGTAATTGTGTGTATGTGTATTTGTGTGTGTGTGTGTGTGTGTGTTTGTGTCTAGTTTACCCCTATGGATACAACAATCGGTCCCTTGATGATCCACCAATAAGGAGAATCTTCATTAATGTCCCAGCATCTGAAAAATACATTAACAATACATTCTTAAAAATAAAGGTGATGCCATAGAAAAAACACTTTTGGTGGTAAGAGAAAGAAGCTTCACATTAACTAAACATTCTGTACCAACTTATGGGTTCTTCCTAGAACATTTAAATTATGTGGAAGTTCTTCAAAGTTCTTCTTTATGTCTCACTTCCCTTCGATGACATGCCTTGTAATCACTCCTTGCTTCATTTCAACGGCCGGCAGTGTGAAGTTCATGGGAGATCACGACACCTACACCAACAACGTCTACCAATCACAAGCCACTCCATTACGTCACATCATCGTACTGACTGTTCACATCTGTAACCAATTTCTGTTTTCATTATGGATCCCTGCCCCAGTCTTCAGAGCATACCAAGCATTTTTTCATTTGTTTGTCTTTCCCGTGTTTTCGACTTGCTTTGTTTTCCTCACTTTGTCTTTGGCTTATCCCTTCTGGTTTTGCTTGCTGATTTTTGGCTTCACTGTTTAGCTTTTTGTCTTGGAGCTGCTTTTGATGTCTCTTTTGCTCAGTCGCATGTATTGCGTATTTGCTCTCCCAGTTTTGACCTTGGCCTGTTTTTGTATCATGTTTTTGCCAAAACTTTGTGATTAAAGGCATCTCATTTCTTTCTATCTCTGAGCGCCTGACTAGTTTGTTCAGTGTTATACTTTAAAAAGGTTCTTCACCCACACATACACACACACACGTACACACACAGACACACGTCCTTTACAAGAAGAACCGTCCACTGAAAGACTTGGTAGGGAATCAAAAGTAACAGTTTTATTTTTAAGAATGTAAAAATAAGTTAGAAAGAATGCACTGATGTATTGATCTGATGGTTCTGATTCAAAGGCATTTTGGAATGTTAGAATCAATTATTTTGAAAACTGCAGTATTGGTTTAGTTTAAATATACAACAGAGAAACATATGCTGACAACATAAGGGTTAATGTGTTGATTTTATGTTCTATATTTAATTAGTGAATAGTGAATAGTCCCTCCAGAGACCTGTGTATTCAGTGTGTTTTTTTTTAATTAATTCTGAATCAAATGAATCAAAGCAAATTGTGGTGAAATTCAAGATTGCTCAATGTATTGAATAGGGATGCAATGATACAAATTTCTGGGCTTATGCCAGTCATTTCTACGTGTATATATCAGTCAGCGCCGATACACACAGATATTTATAAAATGTAGACCCTGGGACTAAATGTATGCAGATTAGCATTACAGAGACAGACATGAAAACTCATAAGCAGTGAACATTTGTGCATTGTACATTTGTTGAGCACTCTATTAACATCACAAAATACATTTCAAATAGATTTAGAAACAAACTAATCCAAGAGCCTACATGCAAAAAACACATTCTTTTTTGTTCCTGTTACTATTAATTAACCTTTTACTTTTTTTATGTCAGACTACATTCACATTGCCAGGTTTACGTGGCACAAAACTGATTTTTTGCCTTAATGAGACCCAGATCTGATGTTTTTGAGCTGAGTGAACACACAAATCGGATCTTTTCAAAACAGATCTGAGCCACCTTCATATGTTGTCACAGATCAGATACATGTCTGATTCGTGGCCATGCAACACTAATGAGATTGGTCAGATCAGAATTTTTCATTGTGCATGCGCCATTCTTCAGTGTTCACGAGGCAGCAGCGCCTAACCTGATATCATGTGGTGAAAAACAGTAAATGATGCAACAGCAATGCATCTGACCCTTCTCCACCTTCGTCTTGGTCTAATAATGAACAGCAGTTGTTCTAGTCAGATTCTGACTAGAACGAGCCTTGCGACAAAGGTTTGTTCTGATGGTTAGTTCATTTGCTGTTCATCACACACATGGTTCATTAAAATTATGTTATTAAGATGTTTGCGTGCAGGTCATTTCAGGAAGAAGGTTCATTCACATTTGAGTCATTTACCTGCATGAATGTGAGCCATTATGTTAGAAATCTGAGCAAAAAATTTGGAATTGAGCAAAGAGGAATGTAGGAGTAGACATGGAGTGAGTTTCTCATGGAGGGGTTGGTGCACAGAAATAGAAAATCTGGGTAGCGTAGGAGGAGAGTAATTATAGAATGAATGCTCCGCTCAACTTACATACTATCATTTTTAACACTGCAGACAAAAAGGTACTTACTCTGTGTCCTCAAAATACACTCGTGAGCCAATCCAGAGGATGATACACACCAGCGGTACTCCTGCAGGACAGAGAGCAGTGAGGAAATTTTTGTCTACCTTATTCATTTAACACAAATCTATAGATGCACCCTCCAAAACAGGAGGAAATAAATTCTAAAACCAAAACTTCTTCATTAAGGCGCCTTAGATATAATACCAAATGATTCCTAATTGAACTGTTTTCACAGTCCAAAATCTGTAATTTAAGCACATCAGGAAATTATGAAGTCTAAATGAAAATCAACATCAGCTTTGTCAGAGCATGCTGATTGAAGTGGACAGACTACAACCCTGCTTCCAAAAAAGTTGGGACGCAAAATATAAAAAAATAAAAATCAATAGAATGCAATATATGCAAATCTTGTAAACCCTTTATTTAATCGAAAATATTACAAAGACAACATATCACACATTGAAGCAGAGAAATTTTATTGGTTTTTGAAAAATATATGCCCATTTTGAATCTGACACCAGCAACACATTCCAAAAAAGTTGGGACAGGGGCATGTTTACCACTGTGTTGCATCACTTCTTTTAACAACACTCTATAAGCATTTGGGAACTGAGGACACCAATTGCTGTAGTTTTGAAAGTAAAACGTTTTCTCGTTCTTGCTTGATACAGGATTGTCATATTTTTCCATTTATAATGTGCCAAATGTTTTCAGTGGTGACAGGTCTGGATGGCAGGACAGTTTAGCATCCAGACTCTTTTACTGCAGAGCCATGCTGTTGTATTATGTGCAGAATGTGGTTTGACATTGTCTTGCTGAAATAATCAAGGTCTTCCCCAACAAAGACGTCATCTGGATGACAGCATATGTAGCCAAAACTGTATATATCATTCACCATTAATGGTGCCTTCAAAGATGTGCAAGTCACCCATGCCATGTTTACTAATGCATCCCTATGCCATCATGGATGCTGGTTTTTAAACTGTGCGCCGAGAACAAGCTGGGTGGTCTTTAGCCAGGAGGACCCAGTGTCCATGATTTCCAAAAAAAAAAAAGCTAATTTTGATTCGTCAGGACACTTTTCCACTTTGCCTCAGTCCATCTTAAATGACCTTGGGCCCAGAGAGGGCGGAGGTGTTTCTGGATCCTGTTTATAAGTGGTTTCTTCTTTGCATGGTACAGTTTTAACTTGCATTTGTGGATGTAGCGATATGTCCACAGACGGAAGTGTTTCTGAGCCCATGCAGTGATTTTCACTACAGAATCATGTCTGTTTTTAATGCAGTGTCGCTTGAGCACTCGAAGATCATGGCTAGTCAGTACTGGTTTTCAGCTTTGTCCCTTGCATGCAGACATTTCTCTGGATTCTCTGAATCTTTTAAGTATATTAAGCAGATGACAAATTCCCCAAGTTCTTTGCTTTGCTATTTTACATGTTATTTAAAATGTTATTTTTGACTTATTTGCCCATTCAGTCTTTCACAGAGTGGTGAAGCCCTCCCCATCATTACTTCTGAAATACTCTCTTGGATACTTTTTTAGGCCCAATCTTGTTACTGACCAGTTGCCAATTAACCACCAGGTGTTTTTTTTAGCATTAGGCAACCTTTCCAGGCTTTTGTTGCCCCATCCCAACTTTTTTGAAATGTGTTGCTGGCATCAAATTCAAAATGGGCGTATATTAAAAAAATAAATAAATAAATAACATTTCCCAGTTTCAGCATTTTTAATATGTTGTCATTGCATTATTTTCAATTAAATATAAGGTTTAAATGATTTGCACACATGATTTTGCATTCTGTTTTTATTTACAGTTTACACAGCATCACAAATATCACAAAGTATTATATTTTAGAGCAAATAGAATATTTTAGAGACTACGGATTTGCTGTCTGAAAGAAATTGGGCAGAATATGAGTGCTTTAAGAAGTGATTTAGGAATCTGTTGTCTCAGAAACAATTACACTAACACATTAAAACTAGAAATGTGTGTACACAAGTTATGTTTTTAGTACCTTCTTTTTTTTCTTTATGCAACAAGCTAAGACTGCAACGTACCGCAATGGAAATGGAAGACTGTTGAAAAGTAAGGTTGGGCTTTGAGAGTAAGATATATATATATATATATATATATAGAGAGAGAGAGAGAGAGAGAGAGAGAGAGAGAGAGAGAGAGAAAGAGAGAGAAAGAGAGAGAAAATGACAAACAGTGGAAAAATGTGAATGAGAGTGAGAGGCACTGATATCAGCTGAGTAGACTGAAAGCATTATTCATAGCTTTCTGTGGGGACCAAATACCCACAGAATGATGAAAAAACATGAACATTCTGTCATTTGGCTACTCCTCATGAGATTTTTTTAATGACGGTGTTTAGGAAATACAGGGATACAAATGTGTATGTATTACAATTGTAGCCTAATGCACGTGGAAATCTAGTGACAACAAGGCTGAACCTGTTTACACAGATTATGCAAGTGTCGTAATTTTTTAACCCAGCCTCAATCGTTATCACTATGATTAATCAAAACAAACCTTATCCCACGGGAGTGGGGGGCGGGGTGCTTTTTTATGTGCTGTGTGATGTTTTTTCTCCTTTCACATCCTTTCTTGTCATGTGCAGGGTTATCTCATTTGACAAGTACACAAACACAGACTTGTATTTCTTGATAAGGAAGAGAGGGCGGTGGACAGAAGAGACGAAGAGACTACTTAGGTGGTGCTGATAGTGTCCCGGCAGAGACAGCGTTAGTGTGCGCTCACCCCAGCCCAGCAGAGCAAAGCCCCAGAGACAGCGGCGGCTGCGAGGGAAGGCAGAGAGCAACAGAGAGTTCAGATACACTGCCTCCACCAACAGCCACGAGAAATTACTCATCACACAGTAGTGACAGAACACCACAGACGCCTTACAGGCAGCCTGCAGAAAGAGGAAGGAAGAAAGACAGAAAGAAAGAAAGAAAGAAAGAAAGAAAGAAGCCATAAACTACAAGAACTTCTACGGGTTAACACCTCACTCTCATAACTACATACCTTGTATATTTATAGTGCGTACTAAATAATTCATAGTGGTTAGTGAATAATTAAGAGTGGTTATTGAATAAGTCATAGCAGTTCCTAAATAATTCATAGTAGATACAGAATAAATCATAGTGGCTACTGAATAATCCACAGTTGTTACTGGATAATTAATAGCAGTTATTAAATAATTCATACTAATTACAGAATAATTCATAGAGCTCAGTGAATAATTCATAATGGTTACTGAATAATTGATTGTAGTTACTGAACAATGCATATTGGTTATGAATAATTCATAGTGGTTACTGAATAATTCATTGTAGTTACTGAACAATGCATATCGGTTATTGAATAATTTATAGTAGTTACAAAATAATTCATACTGGCAATTGAATAATTCATCATGGCTACTGAATAATTCATAGCATGGAAAATTCATATGGAACAAACCAAGGTAGTTTTTTTAATACATTAACATGATGGCTAGAAGAATACACTTAGATGAACACAGGTTTGGTTCCTGCACTTCAGCCATTGCATGGATTTGTTTAATTCCATAAGAGGTACAACTGATTTAATATAATGAAAGACTGATTAGATAAACTATTGGATGGTAACTGTACAAACTGGACTTCTCCAAGGAAAGCTTGGAAATGGTTAAGCTAACACACTCACACATCAAATCACAAGTAGGAGTGCAACAATCATGAATTTTGATGGCCAGTTTTGATTTCTTCACACTCAAATTGGCCATTTTAAATTTTATTAGCATTTTGTTATATAAACTCGAAGCTCACATTCTGTGGGAGAACTGAACACGAGACATACTAGCACATTTCCAGTGCTTTCTATTAACCAAAGCTGTACTATAAATCTTTTTTGCTCTTCAATGAGCCAAACTGGCATCTGAAATTCTTAAAAATGCTGCCTATTTAACAGTAAACTGTGCTCCACTGAAAGTAAGAGGTAACTGGCTCTTTAGCACAATGGGAACATAAATACGCTATGACATTTTGATATAGATGCAGCAGCAGGACTCAAATGCAGTGTGAGTGCACTTACCTGCCTCATGTTAGTTACATTACAAAATTGCAACACAGATCAGCCAGAATTAAAATAATAAATCAGGCATCCCTAATCTTATAATTCACTGTTTGTTTGTTTGTATTTATTATGTTTTTTTAACAAATAAATATGCTAATAAATCACATTAAATATAATATTCTCAGCTTATGACTTTTGCAAGAACTGTATATTTTGGGCAGCTCTGGTCAAATAAAATGTTTTACTGATTTTCTAAGAGACACATCCTCTACAGAGAACACACTTATGCACATTTATAGGCACAATTACTCTTTATTTGCTGAATTTAACATATTGAAAAAAAAGTTATAGCACGTTTTGTATTTTACGTTGATGACGTATGATTTTATGATTTTTTCCAGTATGTTATACTCAGCAAATACTCGTGCACTAAAATTGGCACAAAACTGCCATATTAAAGTGTGTTCCATATAGAAGATGCGATAACCTATTTTCACCTAGAAAATCAACAAGACATAATTTGACAAGTAAATATCGACTGTGTCATGCTTTACGTAACTGTAATTAATTAATTACATAATTAAACTTAGCTGCATTTAAATAATGATGCAAATTGAATGTGTTGTAATGTTGTCTTGTATGGTAAAATACAGCTCCAGGCTTCTAAGGACTGAGAAAATAAGAAAAAAGTACTAGTTACAGAAAGACAAATGGTATGAATAAGGGTGCCTGGGGGGCGTTGGAGGGGGATTGTGTATGCGTTTGCGAGAGTGTTGCTATGGTTGATGAATGAAAACAGAACATTAGCACAGGGGAAGTAGAGAAATGAGGTTAAAGTGGCAGAGAGCATGGAAACACACACAACTCATAATGAGCTGCCTTTTTAGCACAGACTCCAGACAGAGCTACCAGAGTGAAAGACATTTCATTCAAATCCAGCTCACAGCAACATTCCTGAGCTTGTAGCTATGACTAATTTGTCATAAGAGCGGAGACGTCAAAGTTAGTTGCTCATGTTTCTTCAAAGTTTGTGTTAATGAGCCCATTTCCTACATTTTTCCTACATTTTATTTTGTCCTCTGAAGCCAACTTACAATTTTGAGTGGTTTTATGTAACCAAAACAATTTGATTTTTTTTTACATTATCATTGTCTTTCTGTTTACTGCTTAGAAAAAAAGCCTTATGTTTTTGTTACTCTGCCTTAAAGATGGTTAAACGTAAATGATCACTGTTGAGATTGGCTCTGTGCCTCATTCAATTCAAAATAAATTCAAAAAGCATTCCAATAACTGTTAAGTGTGCACTGAAATTCAGGAATGTCATAAAAATAATAATTATTACCCACACTAATCTCTGTTACAGACTGTCTGCAGTAACAACACTCTTAATCACTTCAATACAAATGGGTCAGAGCTATGTTGCTGTAGGCTGAACAGGTGATCATATGTAATGTGTTCACGATTGTAATGTTACAACCACAGTGATCTTGAAAAAATTGCTCAATATATGGGCACACACTCACCGTAGAGAGAGTGCAGTGGTCAGTGTCTTCGCCAGCAAACAGTGTAGCATCCTTTATGAACACAGATGCAGCTTTGAGGATGAAGCTGAAGAACAACTGAATGTGGATGTAGTTTCGAGCACAATGCAGCCTCCTGTATACACACAGAAACAGTAATTGTTTTTGTACATTTTCAGGAGAAAAACATCCTGAGTTTGACGTTTTCTTTCATTTTTTTAAAATGAATGAGAAAACATAGTTATTTTGGTTACTGTAATTAAGATTAGGATTAGGTTTTGACTTAGAAAAGTCTCATTACATATAGATTTACATACAGTACTCTAAATAGCTATCTAACTGGGCAGTAAGCATTTATTTGTCCAGAAACATTAAACACTAACAAACATACATATATATATATACTATGCAAAAGTCTTAACCACATTATTAAAGCTATTTTGTCATGCCATTAATATTTATCATTTATGCCATTTATATATAGCACAATGTGTGCTTTGCCTGTAAAAACTCTATATAACTCTAGAATAAATAAAAATTAATATAAATACAGTAAAGATTTCTCACTGACAGCCATTGCACTGGACCTAGTTTCCTAAAATCCTACTGTTAAAATTATCTTAACTGGGAGAGAGTGTTCAGTGTGCTGCTTGCTCTACTATTTAAGAACCTTTAGGAATGTTTGTGGTAAGATGCTTTGGGAAAGCCAGCCCAGATGAGTTAACTGTCACCTCCACCACACATAGTTTAATTTAATGCAGCACTGATTAGCCAAACCAGGTAGTGGAAGATAACTATAAATAATATTGTGCTATGAGGACAGGTTTGGAAAACGTTCAAAAAACACACTGACATGTAAAAATGACTAACAAAGTTATTGCAATATGTGTTTGTCGGAGCAAATAAACGCTTAATGACCAGATAAATAGCTTTATAAATCTAATTTTCCCACTTTTGCACAATATACAACAGCATTTCCAAAAAAGTTAGAACGCTGTGCAAAATGTAAATAAAAACAGATGTGCAAATCATTTAAACCCTATATTTAATTAAAAATAGTACAATTCAATATATCAAATGTTAAAACTAAGAAATTTATTATTTTTTTTTAATATACACCCATTTTGAACCTGATGCCAGCAACATATTTAAAAAAGTTGGGACAGGAGCATGTTTACTTACCACTGTGTTGCATCACCTCTTCTTTTGACAACACTCTGTAAGCATTTGGGAACTGAGGAGACCAACTGCTGTAGTTTTGAAAGTGAAATGTTTTCCCGTTCTTGTTTGATATAGGATTTCAGCTGCTCAACAGTTCGGGGTCTCCTTTATCATAGTTTTTGTTTTCTCATGCAGCAAATGTTTTTGATGGGTGACAGGTCTGGACTGCAGGCAGGCCAATTTAACACCCAGACTCTTTTACTACAGAGCCATGCTGTCGTAATACGTGCAGAATATGGTTTGGCACTGTCCTGATGAAATAAGCAAGGCCTTCTCTGGAGGACATGTCATCTGGATGGCAACATATGTTGCTCCAAAACCTGTGTATTTTGTTCAGCATTAATGGTGCCTTCACTAATGTGCAAATCACGCATGACGTGCAGTAATGCACCCTCATACCATTATGGATGCTGACTTTTGAACCATGCTCTGATAACGAGCTACAAGGTTCCGCTCCTCTTTAGTCCAGAAGTGGCAGCGTCCATAATTTCCAAAAAGAATTTCAAATTTTGATTCGTCAGACCACAGGACACTTTTCCACTTTGCCTCAGTCCATCTTAAATGAGAAGAGAAGGCAGTGATGTTTCTAGATCCTGTTTATATGTGGTTTCTTCTTCTCATGGTAGAATTTTAACTTGCATTTGTGGATGCAGCGACAAACTGTGCTCATAGACAGTGGTTTTCAAAAGTGTCCCATTTTAACTATATTATGTACTTTACATGATCCCCAAGTTCTTTGCTATTTTATGTTAAAAATATTATTCTTGAATTGTTGCATTATTTTCCTGCGCAGTCTTTCACAGAGTGGTGAACCCCTCCCCATCTTTACTTCTGAAAGACTCTGGGATGCTCTTTTTTACTGTATCTTGTTGCTGATTTGTGGCCTATTAATCTAATTAGTTGAGAAATTGCCCAGCAGGTGTATTTTTTAGACACAACATTACCAATCTTTTGTTGCCCTTGTACCAACTTTGAAATATGTTGCTGGCATCACATTCAAAATATGCACATATTTAAAAAAAAACCAATAACATGCCTCAGTTTCAACATTTGATATGTTGTCTTTCAATTAAGTACAGGGTTTCAATGATTTGCACATCACTGCATTCTGTTATTATTTACATTTTGTGTCACATTATTTTGGAAACAGGGTTGTGTATATTAGAAATAATATTACGTATAGGTATCTACATATCATTGCAGTCACTTAAAAACCTTATATCTCTATTTTTAGCTCCATTTTCACTTTTTTGCATAATACACCTCCAGTTGCTCTTTGCATTGTGTTTAAGTTTCATGATGAACGAACCAACAGAAATGGTCCAAAATTACTTTGTAAAAAATATTCTTACATTAATATCCACTCCAAGTTAAGAATATGTTTCCTTTTCCTGAAAAGTTACCATTTTGGAGATATAATGTTTTGTCATGACAGTAAGGATATGCATAACCCAAATTTTAATATTACATTTAGGCACAGTGTTAGGACCAATGTCCTAACACTGTATAAAAACCAACCTGTGTGTGTGTGTGTGTGTGTAATAGAGAGAGGGAGGAACTGGAAGAGAAATACAAAGAGATACAGAAAAACAGACAGAAATATAATAAGGTTCAAAGTAATATAGGTTCAGCGAAGGTGAGCAGAGACTGAATGAACAGCAAGTTTTATCCTGCATAAAGCTAAATCTCCATTTTATTGAGCATACACAGGATGTGCAAACATCCATTCCACTTCCTCAGCATAGAAAATCTCCTCCATCTAACTCAGCAGCACAGGAGTAAACTGACAGACATGAGGATAAAAAAACAAAGAAAATCAACCACATTTAGAGCAATTATCCATGTTTAAATAAGCATGTTTGCCCTGTGGAAACAAACCTCACCCGTATGTGCAAATTTTGCGCTGCAATACTTTTGTCTGATATGCTAGCCAGGAAAAGGCCACCGTCTGTTTCCTCTTTGTCAGTTAAATGGCAATCACATCTTGTAATGGCTCTGTCTATCTCGGAGGAGTCTGGCTGTGAATGGTGGAATGCTGGTAATTAATTTGCTCTTTTCAGTCGACCATGTGTTATCAGATTTGCCTCGATGTCGATGCAGTTCGGCTGCATTCAAATACAGTTAGCAGTGGCCCTCTGCTGCGTTTGCAATGAGTACTGATTGAGTCTGCATTTAACACACAGGTCAGAAAAGCTAATATATTTAAATAAAAACAAAAGAGAAAAGGTGCCTCATCAAAGGAAAACGAGCAGACTGAAGACGTAAGACTGTTCTTCCATGAACCAGAGACTGTTTGAATGGGTCAGAACTATAATAAGAGAACATTTGCAGCACAGTTCACCAAGATTATTGTAAGAGCAGAAGGCACAAGTACCTGAAGAAGACCAGGATTACCACGGCAACGGTGAGGGAGAAGAGGGAGGCTCCATAGCCGATGGAGTAGATCAATCTTACTGTAGCAAAATATGACTCCTAGGGCAAAGACGACTACCAATTACAAACAAATCAAAGCATTCTCACAGAATGAATAAGTGAACAAGTGAATGAATGAGTGACACAGAAAAGCAATTACAGTACAGTACAGTGCAACTGTTGCTGGTTCTGTACTATAGCACACTGGATTAAAATGAAAAAAACCCTCCTTCTAGCATTTTTGTAAACCAAAAGTAAATGGACAATTAACTATTTAGTTTTTTTCTGGCCATTTTTCTCAGCAGTTTGGTCTATATTTTAAAATGTTTGTTTTAAAAATGCAAGAATTTATTTACGAGTTTAGCAATAACAGACAACCTGGAACACCACTGAAGACAAAACACTGGTGTTCCAAGATGAATTTAAACTGTTCAGTAGTGTATAAAGTGTATATAGTGTTCAAAGATATATAATGTGGTCCGTGCACAGATATTTGGAGTACAGAGGTTCAGGGGAAGAAAAGGGCAACATGAATTTAAATTAAACTTCATTTTATTTACAGCATACTGCATGCACTCTAATCAAGCGAGATGGTATAATCATGTTTTAGATAAAACCAAGCGTAGCTTTAAGCAGCATTTCATAATAATTGAGAAAGCAGTATAACACTGAGAATGAACTTATAATAAAATGACTGCTTATAATGAAATGACTATATAACGTCTCATATTTGAAAAGCAGTGATCACAGCTAATAAAATAGCAAATAGCTATTCATAGTAATTTTGTGAGAAGAATTGACTATAATAGGCAATTACAGTTTACTGTTTAACAACCTTTACTATTTTTCATTCAACATAAGTTCCTGTTGTTCCCAAAATACTTTAAATTGTGAATAAACCATCAGCCCAATGACGGTTTATTCACATCACAGCATTTTTGTGTCTAGTGTGTAATATTTTTAATCTACACTGTATAAGTTATCACAGGTGCTGAGTGTGAAGCGGTTGGTATGTGGATCAGCACCTCCATGTCTAAGTCCATGGTCCTAGCCTGGAAAAGGATTTCATGCCCACTCCAGGTAAGGGGAGAGGACCTGCCCCAGGTGGAGGAGTTTAAGTATCTCAGGGTCTTGTTCATGAGTGATAGGAAGAGGGATCGTGAGATTGGCCGCAGGCTGGGAGAGGCGGCAGCAGTAATACGGTCATTGTACCGGACTATAGTGGTGAAGAGGGAGCTGAGCCATAAAGCAAAGCTCTCTGTTTACCAGTCGGTCTACATCCTCACCCTCACCTATGGTCTTGAGCTTTGGGTAATGACCATAAGAATGAGATCACAGATACAAGCGGCGGAAATGAGCTTTCTTCGCAGGGTGGTGAGCTACACTCTACTTGATAGGGTGAAGAGCTTGGTCATCCGGGAGGAGCTCAAAGTAGAGCCACTACTCCCCCACATTGAGAGAAGCAAGTTGAGACGGTTTGGGGATTTGATTAGGATGCCTCCTGGCATGACTGACTGGGATGAGACCCTGAGGTTGCCCTAGGACCCGCTAGAGGGATTATATCTCCCAGTTGGCCTGGGAGCAGCTCAGGGTCCCCTGGAATGAGTTGGAGGAAGTTGCAGGGGACAGGGTTGTCTGGGATTCCATTGATGATGATGAATAAGTTATCACTGAATAACAATTATTAATATGTCAACTTTTGGATGGTATTTGATATTCTGCACTTTAACATCACATTCATTCTCAAATCCAATGTTCTGCAATACAGAGTCAAAACAATTTCCCTTGGAATTAGCTATGGACTGTACTGTGTCGCTCTAATTAATGACTGAATTAACCACTAAATGAATTATCAAATGACTGAGTGAAAGAATGAACAAACAAATGAACAATTGTGTGTTTTTTTATCCCATCTGTCCATTATGAGATTAAGCACAAGAGACTGAAAAACAGGAATTGGCAACACGCCAAGTATTCAAAGCACAAGGTAACAAAAAAAATCATAATTAAATGATCATGTCAAACTCAAAGCATAGTTCTGAATTAACAAGTCCAAATTCCCATTACAACTGCAGTTGATTAGCTGCTATTTGACTCTAATTTCTCAGGAAGAAAAACTCAGACAGCTGATGATAATAGCACAGCCAACATTCTACTGAGAAAACAAAAGAGATTTACTGATGATCTTAAAGGTCACACTGAAATTATGTATGAAATCCATTCAATGATCATTATAAGATCTTTTTAAAATTCTCTGTAGCTCTTTGTTTCTAAACCTCTTGAAGTCACATATGGTTTAGTCTTGCCTCATTTATCAAAACATCCCACTATTGCATTGATCTGCCCAGAAAAATCATCATATGCACTCAAAAATGCTTTAAAAACAACAATGACAGATTTGAAGAACACAAGCGCCTTTACTTTAGGCTTATGCCTAGGTCCATTTTTTGTATTTAATAGTTCCCTTGAAATTTACTTTTTACATTGGTATCATTTTAAGAATGCAAAACTATGTACGGGCCCTTTAAAGTTTCCGAATACGATGGACAGATATAATCAGACAGATCCTGAATGAGGGAATCAGGGATGAGAATGTATAGTCTGCTGCACCGACCTCTGGGATTTCGTCCTCCACGCTGCAGGCCTCATGGTACGGGGGAAAAGGGTGTGACCAGCCTGCACTGGTGCAGTTACGACTCACTGTACCTGTAGGACCATGAGTCAAATGTTAAAGGTTAAAAAATTGGTTATACATACATGGATGCTGGTCTTAAATCAAACTTCTTTGCTCATATCCTAACATGAACACATGTAAAAAGCTAATGCTAAACTGGCCCTTGATCAGTGAAGAATGCTGTACACATTCCAACACTCAAAATGAGCAAATCTCTTTCAAATATATGATTCATATAAGCTCTTATTGGTTTGATATGTCCTAAAATTCAGTCAAAAACTCTCCAGTCAAACTCTAGCATGTGCTTTTTGGTTGGGCAACTGGTACTGCAATATAACTTAGGTTTGGAATTCACTCTGTTCAAAATTGATTTGCCAAATGTCTAGAGGCTTTTATTGCCCCTGGGCCTCTTTTAAGCAGGCATTTTATATTAAAATCCTATTAGAACTCTTTGCATGAGTTTTGAAATCAAACTCCGTACATTTTGATACGTTAATTGGTACGTTTTTACGACCTCAACAAATGAAAAATAAAACTACTTCTACTGCACATCTACGGAAACAAACTCAAATATGACATGCATTAATGTCTTCATACTTTTTTAAAAAGAGAATGGTTTAAAATCAAATATTGATATTTGCTTTGATACAGTATATGCATGACATGTAGCTTGGTAGCCATCTTCTCAATGTTCCACTAACTGCTCACTCTTTTTCATACATCAAAACCAAACAAACAAGCTGCTGGTGGTTTTAGAATAATGGACTGGCCAACCCAGAGTCCAGACTTCAATATCACTGAATGTGATTGAGAATACTTGGATCATGAGAAGCAGAAAATGCAACCGACTTCTAAGACTGACGTTTGGAGGTGTGGTAAAATATCCCTGAAGATTTCTTTGAGAAACCGAAAGCAAGTCTAATGAAAAGAATGGAAGCTGTAATAAAGATGTACAATAAAATAAAATAAATAAAATGGTGAACATGATAAATACTGAAAAATGTTATATTTAATTGTTGAGGCATCTGTGTAAGTTTAATGTTTCTGCAATTTGATTCCACTTTTTTCCTGACACTGAAAAGATGAGTAACTTGTACTTAATGGACATTTTGACTGAAGAAATGAATGAAAGGTGGTTTTAGATTTTTGGACAGTACCATATCTGCTGATGCCAATACATGAACATGCACAGTCTTATACATGATGACTCTTTTCAACTTTTTAAGCATCACCTTAGAATGTAATACCTCTAAGAGCAATAAATAACAGAAAAATCAGACATTTCATGACCTTAAAATTTTTTTATTTAATATAAAGATTTTTAAGTCTTTTTAAAAGAACAGTCAGTTCCACATATGACAGTCATTTCTCCATATTATGACCACAGGATACCACTTTATTACATTGTCATGCAATTAAAATAACTCAAAATTGGGCAAAAAGCACTGTAGGCGGATGTTTTCTACAATAGGTAGATCTGTGAGTAAAGATCAGAAAAACATGATTTGAAGATCCCCTCAGCATGGCTATTCCCATGTGGACATGGCAAGTGAGAGATGTTTTAATGTTTGTGGAAATGGAACTGGGCCATGCTAATTTTCATAAGAGCAAGCCATTTTCCCTAAAGAATAATGTTTCTGCAGTGGGGAAACAAAGGGGCAAATGAGCTGAGAGCAGATAAAGAGAAGCCAATAAGCAGCGGTAATCAGCTGCCATTCCCTTCATTTACCTGAATGATCTTATTGAAAGCAGAATCTTTTCTTTTGGTGCTTTAATCTCCAATTGAATCAACATATACAACACTATGATTGTTTTGAACTGAAAAATGCTCGCTGAGCATCTGGGACCACTTCATCTCCTCATCACTGAGTAATTGTGTGATGCAACGAGAAGATGAGAGGCTACTGATTGCAGGTGCATTTGTTTATTGATTAATAGTTTCTCAGCGAGGGATAATGATATAAAAATAAAAGTTCATGAATGGTTCTTTTGGACTTATGGCTATACCAAAAATCTTTAATTAGTATGAACCCTTGACATTATTTAGAGGTTCTTAAACTTTAAAAGCTTCTTCACTTTTTCACTCATTTACAAACATCATTCTTCGAATAACTGTTCAATGAAAGGTTTATTAGGGAACCAAAAATGGTTCGTCCATAGCAGAGGTCTTCAACTCTGGATTCATTGGAGACCGGACATCATTCTACACCTGTGAAATCAGCTACCTGTCAGAAACAAAGCAGCAGACAATCTGAATTTTTTTAAGTCTCTACTTCAAACTTAGCTTTTTAAGGATGCACAATGTTGCTGTTGAAACAAAGCCTTGAATTGCATGTTTGTTTTTTTTTCCCAGAATCTGAAAATGCCTTCTGCTTTTCACAAAGTGTGAGAAGAGAAATACAAACAATCCAAAATTACATGTATATCTTGTTCCAATGAGTTGTTTCATTTAAAGTTAACCTCTTAAAATCCTAGGCTTATTACATACTAAGGCTTATTGTTCAGAACTAAAGGGACTTCAAACTGGCTGAGCTATTCTTAGGTTATAGAAATGTGTAATGAAACTTTGGGCGTTCCGGCAGGCCCTGGCCATTTAAGTAGTTAATTGACTGTGATAAGAAGGTCAAAAAAGTATGCATTAATTTTTTTGGCATAAACATAAAACTGCCCAGGTATTTGTGGGGGTGGCTGCTGGCCTAGCAGTAGGTGACGTGAGCCTTCAACTGGAAGGTTGCAGGTTCAAATCCCACGACTGATAACCTCCACTGCCCTGGGCAGTGCTGCTCTACTGGTGACGCTGTGCTGCTCCCAGATTGGGCACAGTTAGGCAGCAAAATGACAAATTTCCCATGCAGGACCAATAAAGTACATATTTGCAAAAGATCTTGGTGTATTTACATTATCTCTGTACACTCACTGGTCACTTTATTAGGAACTTCTACCTTGCAGGTATTAAGTAGTGGACACATTATACAGAGAAAACTGACTGGCCACAGATGGACAGTCTGTAATTGTAGGCAACAGTGTAATAAAACTTTGGGCTCTCCGGTTGGCACTGGCTATTTGAGGAGTTAAGAAAGTTTTTCCTTCTCTTGTAAAGTTACCATCTTGGAAATACGAGGTTTTGTTGTGACAGCGACAGTACTGTTGTAAGATAGTTATTATTTCATATGGTATCCATCCATCATCTAAACCGCTCATCGTTCTGGGTCGCGGTGGGGTGCTGGAGCCTATCCCAGCTGTCATTGGGTGGAAGGCAGGATACACCTTGGTCCATCGCAGTCATATGGTATCACTTATAATAAATTATTGTACGAATTATCTGTGTCTGCATTTGTTTTTTATCTGTACACATTTGTCTTTATATTGTTTGCATTGTTTGACCTCTTGGAGAATAAGCTATATATAAATACAATTTATTATTATTGTTATTACTATTAATACTAATTTATTATCGTTTTGCACCAAACAATCTTTAATGTTTCAATTAAAGTTTGAATTAATGTTTGAATTAAAGTGAATGACACTAAAATGAGCAGGACAGAGTACTAATGGAGCTTTTGTGTTTTCTGACATTGAATGACACACTGTTATCTATAAAAATGAACAAAAATATATTGCACAGCAAATCACAGTAGTAGCAGCCATCTGTAGTGTATTTTGCACATACTTTTGTCCCTTTTTATAGATAACAGATAATGTACATACAGTGTCAGAAAAGCACACTAATTTGCGATTCTTTGACAATTCAACAACGGTTTCTGGTAATATGTTGACGTGGTTGGTGTGTATGAAACAACTACTTGTCAGCTACATTTGCCAGAAGCAAACTTCAGACAATACATCAGGGCAGATCAGCTACATTTGCCAATCAGCCACTGGTTTAAAGATGGCTGGTGGGAATGTGCTGGTTGGTTACATGTGTAGCTCCACTGGTGTACATGTAAAAGTAGCTATTTGCTGTTTGATTTTATGTGTGTGGCTTGAAGTGGCTTAGTAATTGGTTACAGGTGGGGCTAAATTAACTGGCTGGCTAAATTGTTGTTTGATAAAAGCTGCTTTGCGCAGTTGTTTTCCTGTCTTTTCTTGTCAATGCATGTAGGCTTAGGGAGGATTTACCTGGCCTTGGCTTGCTCATTAGGAGGTTGGACCTGGATTTCTTCAAAGCTGCTTTGGAACAATGTATACCTTACAAAGCGTTATTGAGTTACTGAACTGTACAAAGCACTACTGAATAGGCTAATTAGTCAAATGCACCGACACAGACATGCAGCTGTTGTCTTGATAAGAAAGACGACAAAAATCACAAAAGCTGAAAAAATGGGAGGGCTGCCCCATCTTCTCCTTTTATTCCACTGACAGCTGTACACTGTGTGTGAGTGTGTGTGTGTGTGTGTGTGTGTGTGAGTGAGTGAGTGAGCTGAGTGCTGTACACTAAGATCAGTCTCCATGTGTGTGTGAGTATGCCTAGCTTTGAAAGGAATGAATGCACATATTTCTGGTGGCCCTCAGTTTCATCCTCCTTTTTTCCCCAACATGTCCAGCCCTGTCACTGTTCAGGGAATAGTGAATGTGTCTGCAGGGGGACATGCCTTGGTTTGCTTTTTGTGTGTTTCTGATATTCAGGAGCATCCTCTGGGCACTTTAAACCTTTGAATCTTCTCCAGCAGACACCAAAGTCTCAAAGAGCCTTATTTTTATTTTCTGTTAGTTTTCTTACTTCCTGTGAAAATGAAAGAAACCCTGCAGTGTGGGGACATGACAGCATTGATTAGATGGTTGCGGGTGGTGCGCAGTTACTGATTAACTGGATGCAGGTGGTGTGTGAAAGGGTTTTATTCTTTGACAGTTCCTTTGAGAGCACAAAATACACAACAACCCAGAATGGGCAGATAATATTATTGATTACCTGGTTGTGGATGAAGTATAGTTGTTGATCTCTTTTTGGACTGTGTAGAATTTCCATGTCTTCAGTAGAAAAAAAAAACTATTTAAAAAACATTTAAGTATTTAGACCTTAGATTTTTACATTAGACCATAACATTTTAGTCATGTTATGATCGATTTAAACCCAAGGCATTAATTGAGATAGTAATAAGCTAAATGTATATAAAATCATCATTTATAGGGCATGTTCTATTGGGAGGTGGCTGTCCCAAACCCTAACCCCTAATTTTCAACTTGTGAAAATAATACATATTTTTCAAGGTATTTTTAAGAGCTTTTTGATGTCTTTGAAGGAGACATAGAGTCACAACACTTCACACACACAACAGTGTCCCAAACAGCCAACAGTGTCCTAGTTAATCTGACAACAGGGTAAAAATATATTGTTTCATTATTTTAGTAAAAAATATACGAGTCGATTTGCATTTAGCCAGAAGAATGGCCACTAGGGGCCTGCAAAAAGAGGCTATACTGTTGAATTGATGTTACACTGTTATGTGGTTTTGAATAATGCTTGATAATCTGCTTGTATGTAGCCTGTTTTTGCTGAATGTGGTAATGGAGTCGCTGTACCTGTGTTGTTGCTGAAGAGAGAGAAGACAGCAGGACAGGGGGAGTGCACAGTTTCTCCAACTGCTGCCATCGGCCAGCACACTACAGAGTCCCATACTGGGGGACAGCCTATGCACACAAACATACACACACACACACACATATAATTATATAACCATATGCACTGATAGAATGTGTAAGCAGGTAAACAGCAGCATGACGGATATTCAAAGCTGTTGCGCTGTAATGTTAGCATTCTGCTGTGGTCAGGGATTGGTGGCAGCTCTTCTGTCATTCCATTTTATGCACTCCACTCACACACATAAATAAAGTGAGTTTTACCGTGCCAAGTGAGCCTGCCAAAGACTGTGATTTTCCTGAACCACTGAAAGCTACTGCAAGAGAATGTTTCAAAATAATGACATCAAATGAATAATGTAACAAAAGTTAAGTCTGACAGATTATTCAGTGGAACCAGCACGTATTAATAATGAGCAAAATTGAATAGAGTTAATTTAATTTGGTTAATTGCTATAAGGAGATTATGGTAAGGGATTATCCACACACATCTTTGGATATGCATTCATTTTTTGGCCAATGTCAAACTGCCCAGCTATTTTCAAACCCAAAAACATGCTTGGTGTGTTGTTTACACCATTACATTAACTTACTTTATTATGTACATCTAACTTGTGGTTATTATTTAGGTGGTAGATCATTCTCAGTACTGCAGTAGTGGTATTGTGGTGGTCCTGATTTTTGGTGAATGAGGTAAAGGGGGCTAATATATTTTACATAGAATACAGATGGACTACAGTCTGTAATTGTAGCCAGCAGCAGGGAATACTGCGATTTAGGTAAATTTCTATACCACAGTAAGTAAATGAAGCGGGAAAGCGTGACTGTGTGGGTCACTGCAGGCACTCTTAAGAGGGGAGCAGGCTTGCTGTGGCACTGATCCAGAGGATAGCCAGGCTGTGGAGAAAGAGAGGCTACCTGCTATAGGGCCACTTATATTGGGCTGTGGAATGCAGATGGTACCCTTTGCTATGTTAGATACAAGCTAATGTGTCTTAAAATGCCCTTTAATCATTCCTATTAACAAAACATAGCCATTTATTTATTACCTTCTACTTAGTTTTTATTGCTCAAAATGTTACTAAGGGGTTAACTGATGAACAGTAAACATGCTAGGAACTCCAAAACAGTATAAATCAATACAATTAATATGTGCAAAAACTGCTGAACAAATATAAAGTAAAACATTTCATTTTTTAAAATACAAATTAAACTCCTCTTCAGTGATACTCCAGACTCTACACAGTTGCTGTTGCCAAACCAGGAGTTCCAAGACAAAATGAACAAAATGGTGGCGGCCTGGTTTCTTTGGCAAACAGACTAATTTCCTAAAGAAATGTTGTGAGGTCAGAAATTTATGACTGTGCTAACTAGCACTTTATTACTTTATAACTAGCTTTATACTTTATAACTTCCTAACTAGCACTTTATAACTCTTTATAACTAAAACTGAAGCTGAAAAGTGTTTTACCTGTGGCGCTGAGGTTTGCATGCTCAGCAATTTCTCTCTGACACCGCTGCTCCTCTCTCTCCAACTGAAATATATATTCACACTCTGGGTGCAAACTCGACCAAACCTACAGAGCGAGAGAGAGAGAGAGAGAGAGAGAGAGAGAGAGAGACATACCCACAAATGAAAAAAATATAAAGAACCTTAAACTCGTGGTCAAGTCTAGGTCACCATGTCTAATGCCAAGCACTGGCTAAAGGCTTTTAAAGCCCACCAGCTTTGGGCTGTAGAACAGTGGAACTGTGTTCTCTAGTGATGGAGTTCCATCCAATACCTTTGGAATTAGTTGGAGTGGTTTTTGTGATCCAGAACTAATCATCCAAGTGTGGATGAATGCAATCAAATCACCAAAGCAACATTCCAACATCTAATTTAAGGTCTTCCCAGAAGAGTAGAGACTGTTACTGCAGCAAAAGGGGGCAAACATCCTATTAATACCTTTGATTTCAGACGAAACGCTGAATCTTTATTGTGCATACATTTAAAAATCTCTAAATGGTGCTCAAAATAACCTATACAGCTTTCATTTAGCACTGCATACATTTAAACATATATTACACACTCTGAATTCTACACAGCTTTCAGCTGATGCTGCCTATCATTAAACGTCTTCATGCTGCATGCATTGAAACATATAATCTAAAAATAAATCTAAAAACTGAATTTAAAAAAGCCACCCAAATAAATTCAGTACAGCTTTCATTCGATGCTGCATATGAAGTCATTCAGTGAGAGGATGGACGGAAAATATGCCATGTGTATGCGTAGCACGTTCTCATCCACTGCTAAAGCAGTTGATTTGTGGTCCATTCAAAATATGCAGAAATCCCCTCAACCATTTATAAAGGAAAGTGTTAGGGACGAGAAAAAGGAGAGAGAGAGAAAGAAAGAGTGCTTTAATAGTCCACTACGTTGTGGAGAAGTGGACCAACTAGCTCCATTAATACAGCTGTCACAGGAAGGTGGGAAGCTATCTATTTTCATTGATGCTCATAAGCGAAAGCGTGCTGTAGAAAATTGGTGAGCTGAACAAACCACTGAAAGATCATTAGCTCGGAATACTCAGAAATCGACCCGCCTTCAGGTTCAGCTGGGTGACCATCTTGCTACAGTGGACATTAGGGAACTGGGCAGTGTGAATATAATGAGTTTTCAGCATGGGCCCAGCATATTTACGATCCTGGTGTTTCTTCTTGCCATTTTTACCAATACACCTGAACTTCATCATGGGCTGGCATATAAATGCCTTCTTTGTGAAATAATGAAGGGTCAACTAATGAGTTGTTATTTGTTAAGTTGTAGATACAGTACCAGTTCTATATTTGTCATGATCATGTTTCTTGCATTTTTACCCAATATCCTCCCAATACAGCCATTGCTAATTCCATGCGCTAGCTAGGTTCCTCCAGACACGTTATAACATGGTGTCTACTTACAAAAAAGTCCTTTCCCTCAATGAAATAAGCCAATCAGCTTGCTGTTTAAGTTGCAGGCAGGAAAAGTCTCCCTCTTTGTGGAAATATGTGCATGCACAATAGCCAGAACAAGCATTTTTTTGTTCACTACTCGAGCCAAGTGCCAGTAATTATGTATTTACGTTTTTTTGTCAGATTTTATCAGTGATCTCAAATATGTTGTTGAAATGTGACTTGTAGTTTTGATTTTATAGGCCTCTTCTTTACTCAAAGAGAGGGGAGCCTGGTATTGTATGACTGGGTATAACAAGGTTGCCAAGGTGGCCATTAAGAGGACAGATTTTCCATAAAGACTTAAGTTCTTCCAAGACATGTGAAGCAAAATTTGCAGCTAATGCAATATTTTTTGACAGCTCAGATTTGGGGTCCCGTGATGGAAAGTCTAACTGATGTGATCCATACATTAGTACGCAAAAGTGTGGGTGTCCCTGGTCAAATGACATATGATTTGTATAGAGAGCACACTTCTGGACATTTTAATACATAATTACTGTTTATTTTCCAAACAGTATTGGAAAATAAAACAGAAAATGTGGCCTGTGTAAACGTTATTGCACATATTACAGTTTATTTTTTACCAATATGTTACACAGCAAATTAAAAAATAAGCCAGCAAATAAATGTAAACTGTCCACTAAAATTGCAGAAAAATGACATTTAAATCTGATGCATTTATGTATTTTCTTTTAGATGTCATTTGACTGGGGGTATTCAAACTTTCGCTCAACTGCATACCAATAAATACTATTTTTACATATTTTTGTGGGATTTACCCCTGTAGTTTTTCACAAATATTACTAAGCAGGAGTTAACTTTATATCTGTATAAATATATATTTTTTTATTTTACATTATCTTGCTGCCTTTTTATTCATTTTTTTAATGACTATCTTACGTTCACTGTAAACAAATTTAAAGAGGAAAAGTCATTTATTAAGCTTACAAGAAGACACACTGCCTAATGTGGGTCTAATAACCTACCTTTTCTAAATTAATTAATTAAAATGTATTATTTCAGTAGTGACAAAAATTTCAGTAGGCAGGTTTGGTGGGTCCCGTAAGAAGTAAAACCAAATTAACTGTAGCTAGACACGATAGGCTTAAGTATACAGGCTCAAGTGTGCCTAATGTTTTAAACTGAGGCTGTGTACGAAACTAAAGGCAGCTGTCTCGACGCCTTGCTGCTTGTGCTGTCTCATAAGTCAGTGCCTTTGAAGGCACTTTTGTGAGGAAGGTATCTGCAACCAAACAACATTTGAGACGCACTTCAAAGGCAGCGATACGTCATGGCGTTGCCAAGATACCAAAAGCTCACTGCTAGCTGTGTTTAGCTGTGTTACTGTTACTTGTCAGCGTCTTTTACCCAGAACAATGTCTTTAAGAAGACTAGAATACTAAACTTTTTATAATCAAAATATTATATTTTACATAAATTAAACATGCAGAAAGAAGCTCTAATGCTTGAAACAGAATCAAAGTACTGGGTTTATTGGCTAGGCTACCTAAGAATTAGCTGAACATAAATACATAATAAAGACATAATAAAGAGCTGCTTGCTGTACCTGTTCTAAAATGACAAAACAAAATGAAGTACTTAAAGAACACAATAGTTGTTTAGCTGTGCAGACATATGGGATACGTAAGGCAGCAAAGGATACTTTTATTTTGCCTTAAAAACCTGTCAAACTGAGGAACCTCAGCAGGCAGTGTTTTATACAAACATTTTATCTGGACATGACTGGGTGCCTTCCTGCCTCAGAATACTTCTGAGGAGGCCGCATTTGTTACATTTCAGACACAGCCTGCGTTCTCTTTTCCTTTTATTTTTCCTGAAGCCAGCTGGAGAGAGCTGTGCCGGCAGAGGTTACACCCACTAGGCCTTCTTATCACAGTCACACTGTGGTTTTCTAAAATACTGCTGGATGGTGCGTGTGTGTGGGGGGTACGATAAGAAAATTCTTCTGAACTTTTGAAGAGTGGCACACCTGCTGTGTTTTTTCTAAGTTTAGTCTCGTGCTCTGGTGGAAGAGTGGGGGATGAATGGAGGGCAGTCAAGAGTTAGAAAACAGTCCACACACATATAGCAAAAGGCAGATATACACACCTACACACCTTCAAATGGACCCAGTCGGTGAGCAAGCTCAATGGTCCTTGTAACAGATATGATGTAAAAGACATAGCTCCATTCTGGAAAATCACTCCTTTTAACACACACATATGGCTCCTCTACTGCTCCAGCATTTTCCTCTCTGAACCTAAAAGGTGAGCACTTAGCATCAAAGACATCTGGAACATTCTCTCAGAGATGAGGGCCATTCTTCGAGGGAACAGTCATGCACTTGACAGCTGCAAGATCAAATGCCATCCATTGATTTCATGATGAGATGGAGAAAGAGCTTTCTCTAAATGATCTTATCCTGACCCAACCGAGAGAGATTAGATGAAACGTCACCAATGTCCTAATGTTTTTGCTCCAGGACATGAAACTACAGAAAAAAAACATGAATAAAACATCTCCAGTACAAGCTGGCTTGAACCAATCAAAACTGGACCTTGAGAAGGACGCACAAAAACAGAGCAGAAAAGCTTATACTGCCTTCAGTATCAAGATCGAGATCAAGAAGAACTTTAGTGTCATCTTAACACGGACTTGACTGATATCAAAATTTTGACACTGATGCTGACACCGATTTTAAAGAGCTATACACATATATACAAAGAACCTCAGTATAACTGCAGTACCACTTCAGGTGGAACGGAAAATTCAGATGAGAAGCTGGTGAATAAGAAGCTGACTTGAGCTTGATTTGTAGGCTATTTAAGAGCTTTGACAGTTTTGTTAGTTTTTGTAAAATTCCATACACCAAAATATTCTGAAATCTAAAAAATGCAGGTTATATGGATCCAGTCCACCAATCGCAACCTGCAGGGTTGCAGCTACACTAACGGTGACGACACAAGCTCTATCAGAGCACAGTCAGAGTTACAGCTTGCCTACCAACATGATGACGTGGTCTTCTTAATGACTTAATCGAATACTATATTTGGGCCTCCTATCCCAGATATATTGACAGCCACCCAAATATATTTTTTATTCTATTTTAACAACTTCTGATTGGCATGTTGTCCCATTTGAACAACTTCCAAAATGTTATGTGTGAACAAGGTCACATTTTAGTGCAGCATGCTTAGTTAAAAAAAAATAATAATAAAATTAAAGACAATACCCCCTATAACTATATATGCCTTATGTGAATACCAAAATCCCAATGAAGTAAAATGAATACTGAAATGGGTTTGGTATCCATACATGCTAGCTCCACTCTGGGACCATGTCCTGACCCCCAAGTTCAGAACCCCTGTACTAGAACACCAATCACTTGATTAGTGATAACCATATAATCAATAGTGAGAAAAAAAAAATTAAAATATTAAAATATTAAACATTCTTATATTCTTCTATTAGTCTCTATTAGTCTGTTAATTATAATAGTAGGTTATAAATATACAAGTTTTACTGGTGTTTATTCAACAGTATCACTAAATGTTCATGCTTGATACTGGCCAATATTATTATTTTATCAAATTATAAA